CTTATATCTTTAGATATATTCCTATTCCAAGCCCCCATATGCTGTGTTCTTTCTGAAAGAAGGCAAAAGCCATGGAACTGAAGCAGTAGGTGTCTTTCTAGATTCTAATGGGAAAGACAGGAAGGGCTTCATGTAAGTGATCAGGCTGTATTCATCCCCTATAAACCATACCCTGTGATAGCTTGACTGCCAGGCCCTTGGGATGGGGATGGGGATGGAGCTGGGACTAGGTCTGAACTGTAACCAAGCTGAAAAGTTTTGAAAGGCATATCATTGCTAATAGAACGTCTGCAACAAACAAGAACTGAAAGTCACAGCCAAATTTACCTCCAGTCACAAGAAAATTTCAATCTTATCCTCTGGGTCAACTGCTTCATCTTTATGCATCTAGAAGTAAGCTCAGACTGGGAGGGCACTGGAGCTTACAAATAACTTAAAAAGCATGCCCTGCCTTTCTACTCAAGAATAGCAAATAGTTTACCAAATTCACTCCCACATCCTCTGTGATAATGAAGATGAGGTAGGTATGCCTACTGTCACTCTGTAAATAGTGACTTAGATCTAATAGGAGTAAAATGACAGAGGGATATCCGTGTACATTCCATAGGCTTCTGCCTGCACACTACTTTTCTACTCCACCCTACTTTGTTAGAGAACAGTGACTAGCTCCCACTTGCCTCACTGTGCCAAACTGAGACACCTACCAAAAACAGGCCAGGAAAAGAGCAAATATGTAAGAAGAGCACAGTCTTCTGGCCTGTCCTTTTCACCTTAATTTTCCTCCTCCTCTCCTTGCATCCTTTCTTTTCCATGTGCTTATTTAACTTCAGTGCATATTTTCAAGAACTGGAAATTAACAGAGAAATCTTAGGCTACAGTTCAGTTTTTCTATCCTCTGTCTCTTCCATGCCCCCATACCCACACACAAGAAGAATACTGCTTGAGTCTCTGAGACCTCTAAGAAGTCCTATATGACACAGATTCATTAGTGGCAGAACTCTGCAAAGCTCACTGATGGCTCCAAAGAGTCATTTTATGCAGAGGAGTCAATTCCATGATGACTGTCCATACTGTAGACAAGGACATTACATAGTAAAACAGACATGTCTGATTTGAAGAGAATCCCTATTTCATTCAGACAACCCCTACCCTAGTCTAGCATGAGAAGCTAGTGAAAGAAATTAATAACTTTAAGTTCATGGGACCACTTCCTCATGGTGATCTTCTTTCATTTACTATGACTTATGTAGTACTGCCATAACATACTGAAAAGTCATAAACTACCCCCTAAAACTTTTGATAATCAATAAAACGTACTTTAACATGTTGCCATTTTTGCCACCTGATGATCAACACATACCTATACAAGTCTCCATGAATCAGGCAGCTGAATGGTACACATCCAGGAAAGCATGATAGCTAGTTCTACTGAAAAATTTCCTAACCTAGTCATTTCCTGCTCTAAAAGTTTGTCTATGACAAATGAAAAGTAAGCCGTCATGTCCCATGCCTTCTCCTACTGATGACTCAAATTACTCCATCTCCTTTATCTCTCTACCTTTCCCAAACAGGTAAACATGCCATCCTAAACCCAAACTACTTTTGAATTTCCCCAGTACAAAAGGAGGTTTGCTGCCATTTTGCATTGTGGTTCTTGGCTCTTTTGCCTTTCATAAGCCTAAGTTCTTCAGTTACTAAAACACCTCCACCTCCTTGAGCCTAGATTTCATTAGTGTATACCTAAAACACAATTATCATGGAAGACTTTCATGGCATTGAAAGCATTACTGGAGTAAGAGGCTAAGAAGACTAGATATATCCCTGAAAGTTATTAGTCAGTGCTCCCTCACAACTTGTACAATCAGAAGAATCAAGTTATTCTCTAGACTACAGAAAATAAAAAGGCTGAGAGCCCACCTAAATCCACTGAATGATAGACTGGATGCACCACAGAGTCAGTTTTCGCATCAGCTTCTCTATAACCTTCCCTGATTGCCTCTCAGTGTGGCTGTGATAAGACAATGAAGTAAGGGATGGGAAGCACACTATGCACAGTAACACTGAATGCAAATGAAACAGCTATCTTCCTTACTCATTACATGGCAGCTCTGGTTAAAAGAATGCCAGGGCTATGGCAATGGATTCACTACCAAACCATCACAGTGTCCTTTTAAGACTGCCCACTTCAAATTCATTTTAGAACTAGGAATTCCCAGGCCCAAGAAAGGGAAGGGATACTCCCAAGATTCCAGAACAAAGAATGACAAGGCAAGGGTTAGAATCTAAAGATTTTTTTTTTATTTAACCAAATCAATTCTATTTCTAGGTCATCCCCGCCAATGGATACAGACCAAAAAAGCAACTTGTGGGGAGAAAGCTGTATTGTTCTGAAGCATATAATAAAACCTACTACAATAGAAAAATGAAAAGGGATTAAAGAAATATTCCAAATATTATTTTGCTAAGAAAAAAGAAGAAGAAACAGGCAAACATTACACTGAAAACAAAATGTCCCCTTTATGTAATGTCCCAGTTAACCCTGGATGTTATACCTGGCTTTTACTCTATGGAGTCAGGCTGTTTCGGAAGAATGAGTAAACTGATTTTGCCTCCTGCATATCCATGCATGTAATAAGAAACCTTCATATAATAGGGGCCAAGTGTACATTCAGCAGAAAGGGAATCATTAAAAGGCACCCTGCCTCTCCACAGGAGGTACTTCCTTAACAGTGTGGCCAAGAAAACCTTCATCTATCCTCAAATAATGCCCCAGCCAGACCACAAATTGCTGGCTGCCCCATACTTAGTAACACCCCCTGCCACGCTCCTATGGGCTCACAAAATATTTGAGGACCACAGCAAGGAGCTGAGAGGTGCCTGGCAGGTTGGGTCAGCTTGAACAAAACTGAAAAAAAAAATGACCTCTCCAGGGCAGGTTGTCTAGGCAGACTGGAAATTCTGTGGGTGGCCTGAGGAGGAAAAGAAAGGAAGGATCTGCTCCTGAGTGCTGCCTGTCAAAATGTGGCCTTGGTAGATAAGAGAGGGAAAGAGGAAGAGTTTGATTAGAAGAAATTCTTAAAGGCTAGGAGTCCCCTACCAAATTGTTAGATAGGTTTGTTTGATAGGTTTCTTTGTTTGTTTGCTTTTAATTTATTTTTATTACAATTTATTCACTTTGAATCTCAGCTGTAGCTCCCTCCCTCATCCCCTCCCAATCTCATCCTCTTTCCCTCTTCTCCTCCCATGCCCCCCCCCTCAGTCCACTGATAGGGGAGCTCCTCCTCCCCTTCATCTGACCCTAGCCTATCAAGTCTCATCAGGACTGGCTGCATTGTCTTCCTCTGTGGCCTAGGAAGACTGCTCCCCATCAGGGGGAGGTGATCAAAGGGCCAGCCACTGAGTTTATATAAGAGATAGTCCCTGTTCCCCTTACTAGGGTACCACTTGGAGACTGTGCTGCCATGAGCTACATCTGTGCAGGGGTTTTAGGAGTTCTAGGTTATCTCCATGCATGGTCCTTGGTTGGAGTATCAGTCTCACAAATTACCCCTGGGCCCAGATATTTTGCTTCTGTTGCTCTCCTTGTGGAGTTCCTGTCCCCTCCAGGTGATTGTTCGTATTATAAAAAGTGGTTTGCTCCAGAGAACACCAAAGGAAGAGTGTTAGAGGGACAGATGTGAGGGTAGATCACAAAAGGCTTCTATCTTAATCTGGTTAGAAATCCTGGTTTGGAGAGACTAAAAATTCTCTCCAAGTCCCTGCAAATACCCTCAAAATGTTGCCTCAATACACCTCAGACAGGGAGTTGACTGGTTCACACATGACCAACATGTTGGCCCAACACCTAAAGGACACCTGCACAAGTTGGCTAGTAAGACATTCCAATGCATTGAGAAAGCAACATAGGTTATTAGGAAGAGGGGCAGTAATTTCCAGAGCCCAGATGCCACGTTAACAACATAATGGAAAAAACAAAAATGAATCCCTATAGCCACATTTGTTAACTTAACAAGCTACATCTTTCTAACCCCTGCCAGGACTGTCATAAACAATCTCAACTGCTTTCTCCAAGCATTGGAGTGGCTCTAGCTCCTTTGCTTAGATTCTAAGAGAAACAACAACCCTCAAAGGGCCAAAGTTCATGCAGTCCCCTCCACCTGGCAATCTTGTGCTTCAAGGTGAGCTGTCTTAGAAGTCACTCTTCCCAGTAACAGCTCCAATTGTCCCCATCCTCCACCCTCATTCTCTGAGATGCCTGGGTTTGGAGGCCCTGGCCTCTGGCTGCAACTTGGTTCCAGCTGATCACAGGCTCTTAAATCAAACCAACCCTAGTGGCCGCTTCGGCACAGCTGTGTTTCATGGCACAAAAGTTCCCTCCACACTGAACTCAGGAGGGAGGGAAAGGCTGAGGGGAGCTAGCTGCAGCAACGCCCCAGCACTGAATGGGGTGTGTGTGCGCCCTGCTGTAGGAAGAGAGGCTGAGAAAAGCCACCAATGCCTCATCCCCCAGCTCCGCGCCAGACTCTAGCCCAGGAACCTGCCTCAGGCAGGACAGCCTGAAGGAGAGCCTGGAGAGCTAGCGCCGAGCCCACTCCCCCCCCTCCCCAGGCGCGCGCTCGTGCCCTCAGCCCCTCACTGTCCTGTCGGGCCCAGGGGCCTCCAAGGCAAGCAGAACCCCCAGCAGCCGCCATTTCCTGCAGCCCACATCGAGGTAAGTGGCCTCCTCGCCGTTGCTGTGGGGGGAGCGGGGCTGCCCCAGAGCCCCGCGAGTGTTACTACGCGCAAAGCTCCAGCAGAGCCAGGTGGCTCGGGTCCCATCCTCCAGCCACACTTAACTGCAGTCTACTTCTGAGGCAGGACCCTCTCCGAGTGGCTGCAGCCCCTCTGGCTCTGCCCGGCCAAAGTTGCAAAGTGGGGCTGAGGCCCGCACCCACGCAGTCAGCGCACCCGCTAGCCCATTCAAAGTTGGACCCCGTGAGGAGCGAGCCACCGCTCCTTACCTTCGACACCGTGAGCGGCTCGCAGTGCTCCAAGCCCCCCTTCAGGGTGAAGCCCCAGGGTGCCCCCCCTTGCAGCTGCACCGGGACATACTGGAAGGACCCCAGCCGGCTCTCCATCCTCGGCTGGGCTGGGCAGGCGCCGCTGGGCTCCTTTTCCGCGGGGGCTAAGGAGCCTCCGCCCCCAGCAGCTCAGCCACCTCCGTCCTCCAGCGCCGCGCCGTCCCGCTCCGCCTACTCTCCCGGCTGGAGACGCTCAGGCAGCTAGAGAGCTCTAGGAGGAAATGACACAGAGCTGGAGAGAGGGGGAGAGAGGGGGGTGGGGGGGGAGGAGAAAGGGGGAAAAAGAAAAGAAGGAAAGAGAGGCGGAGGGATGGTGCTTAATGGACAAGAAAACAGAGCAATGGGGAGGGGTAGTCACTGGGACTTCGCCTATAGGATCGCTGAGGAGTGGGAGCAGGGCGGAGGCCTCACATCAATTGTTACATTGTTTCATTCAAGTAGGCCCCCTCTTTGGTCCTCCTCTTTACTGAGGAGCTAGCCACCCCTCCTTCAGCCCAAGCAAACCGAGGTGAAAGTCAGTGTGCATGGCCCTCCTGTGCACTTTCTGATTAGTACCTTCATGTCTCGCAGACTGTCTTTTTCTTCTGAAGGTCCTGAGACACAGGTCCTGAGGCAAAAGGAGGTGGTGAGGGGTGAAGGAGTGGGCGGATACAAGGCTGCTAATCTGTGGACTTTGCCTAAAGGGGTGGAAAGTAAAATACAGTCTGGACCAGCAAACACAGAGTGGTTGTGCATGTAGACTGCTTCATGTACACAAGAGTTGTGTGGAGTCATTATGGAACATTGCCTAGAAGCATAGTTTAAATAAAGGAACACTGAAGATGTCCCCTGCCCAGACTTGGCTACAAGCTAGCTCCCTACTGGTGTCTATGGGAGTACTGTGATTGTGTATGTTCCAGTCATCTGGGACTCCTGGCACTGACTTGTACTTGCCCCACGGAGATGACCAACCCAGGAATCTATTAAATTATAACTAGCCAAAAGCAAACATATAAGAATGAGCATCCATTGATAAGCTGGCTGATTAATAATGTGCCTTTTGGCAGTGTCAGCTTATCCACCGGGGCCTAAAATATATCCAGTCATCTGCTCTTGGTTGAGCCTGTTTCTCCAGCTTTTAGAATAGGCAGAACAACTACAGTAACAGTCCTGGGAGATGAATGTTACTTCAGCTAATGCTGTTCTCTCAGCCTTGAACTAAGCAGTTATCTCCCCTCTCAGGGGGGTGTCCTTTCTGCAGCCCCAAGTGGGAAGTGACTTTTTAGAGGGCTTCACATTAGCAGGGAAAGTGTTGACAATTCAATGCTGATTCAACAGGACATTCTTACTTTCTCTTGCTTTTGAGTGTCCTATACCATTGATATGCAATTTCTTCCTTATAACTGGCAAACACTATCTGGTCCCTTCCTTCCACGGAAAGCTTTATACAGTTCAGGTGTGCGCCCCCTGCTCCCACTTTCTCACTGTTTCTTAAACATCCTACTTCCTGCCCTATGCCCCAGCATGCCAAGGAAATTTCTCACAATGGTCATTTGGTTGTTTATAATGCCATATGTCCTTACAGATGATCCTCATAAGGAGCCATGTTCAAACATTCAAACAGACCTGAGAAAAACATCTTGATCATGTTCCTAGAGATCAGAAAACGCCATCTCAATTTGCTGATTCCTTTTTTAAAATGTTGGCACTAAGGGTGGAACCTAGGACCTTGTTCATGACATGCAAATGTTCTATATTGAGATATATCACCTCACCCACCCTTTTAAGATTAATGTTCCTTTTTCAACTATAGGCTAAAACAAAGTGTGTGTGTGTGTGTGTGTGTGTGTGTGTGTGTGTGTGTGTGTGTGTATGCATGCACAAGCACAGTACTGGGTACTGAACTTAGGACTTGTTAAGAATGCTAGATAATCACTCTTATCCCTGAATTAAACCCCAACCTCAAGAGCAAAAACTCATGTGACAACACAAGCTGGAGAAGATGTAGAGATAGGGGAACCCTCCTCCATTGATGGTGGGAATGTAAACTTGTACAACCACTTTGGAAATCAATCTGGATCTTTCTCAGACAATTAGGTATAGTGCTTCCTTAAGATCCAGCTATACTACTCCTAGGCATATATCCAAAAGATGCTCAAGTACACAACAAGGACATTTGCTCAACCATGTTCATAGCAGCTTTATTCATAATAGCCAGAACCTGGTAAGAACCCAGATGTCCCTCAACTGAGGAATAGATACAGAAATTGTGGTACTTTTACACAATGGAATACTACTCAACAATTAAAAACAAGGAAACAATGAAATTTACAGGCAAATGGTGGGATCTAGAAAAGATGATCCTGAGTGAGGTATCCCAGAAGCAGAGAGACACACACGGTTTATACTCACTTATAAGTGGATACTAGACATATAATATAGGATAAACCTACACAAATCTGTACACTCAAAGAAACCAAGCAAGAAGGAGGACCCTGGGTAAGACGATCAATCCTCACTCAGAAAGACAAACAGGATGGACATTGGAAGAAGGAGAAAACAGGAAACAGGACAGGAGCCTATCATGGAGGGTCTCTGAAAGACTCTACCCAGCAGTGTATCAAAGCAGATGCTGAGACTCATAACCAAACTTTGGGCAGAGTGCAGGGAACCCTATAAAAGAAGGGGGAGATAGTAAGGCATGAAGAGGACAGGAGCTCCACAAGGATAGCAACAGTACCAAAAAATCTGGGCCCAGGGGTCTTTTCTGAGACTAATACTCCAACCAAGGATCATTCACAGATATAACCTAGAACCCCTGCACAATGTAGCCCATGCCAGCTCAGTATCCAAGTGGGTTCCTAATGGGAACAGGGACTGTCTCTGACTTGAACTCAGTGGCTGGCTCTTTGATCATCTTCCCCTGAGAGTGTGGGGACAGCCTTACCAGATCACAGAGGAGGACAATGCAGTCAGTCCTGATGAGACCTGATAGGCTAGGATCAAAGGGAAGAACCTCCCCTATCAGTGGGCTTGGAGAGGGGCATGGGAGGAGATGAGGGATGGAGGGTGGGATTGGGGGGTAATAAGGGAGGGGGCTACAGCTGAGATACAAAGTAAATAAACTGTAATTAATATAAAAACAAATTTAAAAAGTAGAAAAGAATACCCAGCCTCAACTTGTTGGTTTTTAAAATGGTATATCAACTGAAGCTATAATGTATTTGTTGTATCCCCCTTTGAAAATGAGCATTCTTTTACTTTCAGGAGTAACATTTCAGATTGTAACTTAGTGAAACTCAGCAGGTAGCATATTGAAATTTGTAAAGTTCAGTTTGCAGGATATATAATCACTAACTCAAGGACTACCAGGATTTTGTGTCTAAAACTTGAAGGTATTTGTAAGCAGGAGACATACTTCTAAGCCCTGGCCTTGTCCCTAATTATAGAGGTGGCCTTGAACAAATCACTGAGCTAAGTCTTTGCAGTCCTATTTTCTTGGTCTGTAAACTTTTGCTAACAAGCTCTGACTTTCCTGCCTGAGACCTATTGAGAGTCTAAGATGAAATAATACATATGAAAACACTTTGGAAAGGAAAAAAAAAAAAAAGTCCTCTTGACCTTAATATGAAACAAGGCACTGAGCTAGCCTTGAACCAAAATCTTTTTGTTCCAAGCCATACTCTACAGTGCTGTTGATTTTTTATCTTCTCCTTTCAACATTAAAGGAGAAGATGAATTACTTCATTTTTTGAATAAATGATACAGAAATAGGCATCTTGTACCTATAATGGAGCGATCACATTTCTGCTTTGCTGAAAAAAAAAAACATTGCTCTTTCCTTTTTACTTTTTTTTTTTAATAGAGTCTCACTGTATAGGGGAAGGCTGGCCTTGAATTCACAGTTCTCTAGTACTAGAAAAACAAATATGTACCACCATGCCTGACATGAAAAAACTGAATTCTAAGCTGGTTATTAACCAAGTCACCTTTCTCTTCTGTAAAATTGTAAGGGTTGAGCTACTAGATTTCTTCAATTCCTCTGTAATTTATAAACTCTGTGATTACTCCCTGGCCAGAGTCTAAACATATACATACACACATACACACACATATATGTATATATGTACACACATACACACACATATGCAAACGAAGCCTTGAAGTTGGAGATAAATCAGGTGAGAATACAGCAATAGAAAACAGTCATCATGTATTCTTGCATATATACTAGAACCATGACATAGATGATGAATTCACTCTGTTTTAGATTGCCTGTGTACAAAGAAAGTAGAAACTCTAATACATGGGTAGAAATAGAAAAGTACATATCAACAGAAGAACGGTGACTAGCAATAACACATTTAGCTTGTAATTAAGCTACTTAGAATAGATAATCTCACCCAGAGTAATTAAAATAAGAAGAAACTAGGTATTTATATAGATTTCTATATTATGCTAATAACTAAAAAATATTATGCTGGGGGTTGGAGACAAAGCTCAGTGCTAAGAATACTTACCTGTCTTTCAGAGGATCCAAATTTGGTTCTCACTATCCATGTCTGGCAGCTCTATAATTCTAAGCACCTGTAACTCTACCTCCAGGAAGATCCCATACCATTTGCCATCATAGGCATCTGCACTCACAGGTGCACTAGTGCACGGGCGCGCGCGTGCGCGCACACACACACACACACACACACACACACACACACACTTCAAATAATAAAATATTTAAAGTATTATGCTAATATTTAAAAATCAAGGAGGATAACAAAGTATCTAAAATGGAACAATTAGAAGAGACCAGGCTAGATGTTTCCATCTCCTTTTACCTGTACAAGACCTGTTCAAGATTGAGACTGACAGGATTCCAGCATGGAGGGTGGGAAGAGATCAAACCTCTTCCCCTAACTGAGAAGCTATTAGTAATGGATGCTGGGGAAGAAAGAGTCAGTTTTCTTTAGGCCCCTGGCAGGCTGACTATGCTCCACCCATGATGGTCCCCCACCCATGAGTACATGGACAGCACAAATTGGACTTAATGGGTTGTTGAAGAAGATACAAAACTGAGTAGGAATGGATTCCCAGGGGGTTAGGGGGATGTGGGAATAAAAGGCTTAAA